GAGCATTAAATTCTCATATTTGGAATACTTCAAGAAAGTGCTCAAAAGTTTAAAAACATAATTTATAAAGCAGGCAGATTGCCTGTTCACCAAATTTTAACTTGGCAGTCCTGGCCACCTGTTCTTCTCTGATCCATCAAGGCAAAAATGGACACTAAATTAATTATATTAATTAAAAATCACAAAGATAAATGTGTTAATCAAAGAAGTTAGGTGAAAAATAGCTAGTATTTCAGTAAGGTACAAGGGAAAAAAAAAGGCGGTGGTAATCAAACATGATGCATGTATACTTTAGCCTTGTCTCTGGCTGTAGAGACATATCCCTTCCTCCTCCTTCCTTAAAACCCCTCATAGCTCTTTAGGCCCCTCCCCTGCACCCCCACACCCCAGCCCCAGCCACTTTCTCTATGCTCTGCACTGTCCTTGGAGTGGCTGTATAGCAAGCAGAGTCTTTAAGGGACAGAATTACTGTGCCATTTTAATAGTTTTAATTGGCATTCAAGATAAAATATTCTAAATAGTCTGAAAGTTTAGAAAATAACACATCATAACCTGTGACACTGTTTCATTTCCAGCTCCTTAAAGATAATTGTATTAGTGACACTCAAAATATAAGGTCACAAAATAGTGCAATTTTTGTTAAAAGTTATTTTTATTTTAATTTTTATTTCATAAAATGAAATTATTTAATAAAAATTTTTATTTAATAAATGTCTCATTTATTAAAAGCTTTAACGTCCCATTAAAAAACAACTAATAAGCACAAGTCAGGTGACTCAAGTGCCACTTCTGTCACCTAGACAGTAATACTTTCAAAACTTAGAGAGAAGACTTCTGGAAAGGCATTCAGAGCATGGCCTGGCGCTGCCTGACCCAGGTCAGGAAGGTTAACAACCTACATGTCAATCACAGTCACTGGGGTGAGCTTTATTGAGGCCCAAGTCTGATGGTTTTAACATCTGCAAAACACAATAATAGGACAGATATAACAACATGTTCAGAAATCAGCAAACAATCATTGTATTGTTTAGGGTACCAGAAGATCAATAAAGGTTAAAAATTCAAATGCTTTGTAAGGTAACATAAAAGTGAGAAGAAACTGGAGTTAAGACAATAAGGAGGGGGCTGTGACTATGTAATTTGGGGATATATGTCCCCTCCCAAAGACATTAAATTCTTTAACAAATTTTTAATCCAGTGCTGGTCAAATTAAGGACCTTATCTGACCTGCAAGTTCACCAGTTTGAGACCCCTGACTTTTACCAAGATCAGGCATCAGGTACCCACCCCTGGGGTTTTTAACTTTGGGGTGAGACTCTAAGTCCTAAAGGAGATAACTGTCCAGAGAAGAGTAGGTTAACCTTTAAAAGTGATAGGAGGGTGAGCAGGCAGGTTAACATTCAGTGTAAATAAAGTTTAAAAATATTTAAATAGCAACTACAGCACCAGTTAACATGGAAACAGGAGCACTGTGACTTGATTTGAATTACAGAACTATGACTCCTTAAACCCGCCCCCCCTACTAGGGGCTGGATTGCCGAGATGGGGTCAAGAGGCCCCATTCCTAAAACCTGAAAGGACACGCAGCATAGAGCCAAGCCACATGGGACTGATGTCACCTTTACATATGAAAAAGAATTCAGTGTTAGTCTATATAGGAATTAAATACATTTGATTAATCTTTGACTCTTCATGATGACGTCTAAAAACTTCTTTTCCCCAAACACACCAAAGAGTAACAGTAGCCAAAAACCATTGCACATTAAATATCTCATTAAAAAATGACACTTCATTAAGCAACTCTTAATTGCTTTACATTTTCAAATGTCCCAATTTTTTTAGTACCATGTGTACTATTTGAGAAATGCAAATTATATTAATACACACGTTTTTACCATTGTTTTGAACTTTAAAAGAATGCAGATAACAAATTTCCAAAGGGGGTGGGGGTTAGGGGGGCAAGGTGGGCCTGGGGACTGACTGAAAGCTGTAATTACTTTAAGTATAAATATGTAAAAATATGTAAATTGTATACTTGTTGTGGGGGGTGACAGGTATTTGGGAGTCAAAGTCCTGGCTTATGGCTTATAATATAGGATACCAGGTTTTAAAAGTTATGTTTAGTTAGAAACATAAACATGGTACTCTGACTGGAGATAAGGCATCAATTTGTTTTATATATATATTTTATAATGCCAGTTAAAACCCTCCAATCTATATTTTGTAATGTAACCACTTGATGTTACATTATACAAAATTTAAATATGACAATTATGTACCACCATTAAGTATTCCATTCACCCCAAATAATTAGCTTTTGCTTTTCATTTTTAAAAAGCTAATTATTTTAAATATCTTATATAAGTATAGTCTTGTATTATAATTACAGCTTACATTATTGGAGTTTAAAAATGCATACTTTTTTGGGGGGGGGGAATCCTGTTAAGTGGGAGAGATAAGGCAAGCAATGCCTTGGACAATCCAGGACAGCAAAGCACCATAGGAAAAAACCAGGAAACACCTGCAGACACCAAAGGTGGCACTGAAAAAGCCAATTTACTCTGGTCATTTAACACATATTTAATGAATGCTTACCATGTGCCAGGCACAATTAATATGTAGGCAAGTTAGCCAGGGCTAATCCCTTCGAGTTCCAAGGAAAAAAAACCCATCTTCATAGGCACACAGATAAACACCTCATCCTTGCCCCAAGGCCAGGCCAACAGTACCAATAAGGCACTTAAAACTCCTATGAAACACAGTTCAAGGTATTCCTTATTTTGTGTCCACCAAAGAATCTGATTCCAGTAAGCCACCACAAGTGTCCATTAGTGTCTCAAAAAAACCTTAAATGTTAAAGTATTTAAAACAATTTATTTTTCATTTGTAGTAAAAACATTTAGCTGGATTGCCCTTAGGGGCACCAGCCATGTCTGCTCAGAAGCACTTTTCATAACCCACTATCAAGTTTAAATTGTGGAATTGTGTTATTTAATATATGCAAAGCACTTGCAAAAAGTGCTTATAAATCCCAGGTATAATGACTATCGTTGCTAATTGTTCTTATTTATTATTCTTATATTTATTAGACACTAGTGGATAAAAAGCAAAATCGACACCGCCAAGAAACCGCAGGAGGGACGGGCTGTGCATCCAGGTTCAGGCAGCGAAAACAGTGAAGGCACGCAGGCGCAGAGGAGGTGGGCCTGTAGGGCGGGGCTGGGGGCTGACACTGCGCAGGCGCAGGCGGACACTGGGAGGCGGGGCCATAGGCCACTTCGGAAGAGGCAGGCTCAGGGAGGGGACAAGCTTTGGAGATGAGGTGTCTGGGCAAGCCACCTCAGAGGAGGCAGGCCTAGGGAGGGGCGCTTGGGGGTATCGCCTCAGAGGAGGCAAGCTCAGGGGGCAGGGGAGAGCCACCTCAGAGGAGGAGTGCTCAGGGAGAGGCGGAGTCTGGGGGGGAGCAGCCTCAGAGGCGGGCTTGGAGAGGGAGGGTCTGAGGGAGCGGCCTCAGAGGAGGTGGGCTCAGGGAAAGGCGGGGTCTGAGGGAGCGGCCTCAGAGGAGGTGTGCTCAGGGAAAGGCGGGGTCTGAGGGAGAGGCCTCAGAGGAGGCGGGCTCAGGGAAAGGCAGGGTCTGGGGGGGAGCCACCACAGAGGAGGGGGCTCAGGGAGAGGCGGGGCTGGGGAGAAAGGGTCTAGAAGGCGCGCTCTAGGAAGGCGCGCTGCAGAGGAGGCGCGCTCTGAGGAGGCGCTGGGAGGCGCTCAGCACGCTCTGAGCAGATACTGCAGAGAAGGCGCGCTAGAATGGGCGGGGCAGGCCTGAGACTGGCTGTTTGCCTCTCCCAGGATCCCCCCTCCCAAAACCCCTCCCACCAGCCTCCACAGCCAGATTCATTTCATGCAACAGAGCAATCACCCCCAGATCCAACACCCCCCCATACTAAGCAAACCAACAGTTTCCACAAACTGTTGCTGGACGCCAATTCGCGCCACCTTCACAACTACACCGCCACTTCAATCAAGCGCAACTAGACAAGGCAGCCCGCTCTGCCACCACCAAAAGATTCCCTTATACACTCAAGTCAGCGCCCCTCCACTCCACTGCTATAGCAGGAATGGTGTGGGCAGAATGTTAAACACTAATTTTTGCCCGGGGCTCCATTTTGTCTAACAGCACCATCATGCAGACAACCATCCTGCAGAAAAACATAGTGGGAGCCATTCCAAAAGGTGTGTTAGAGACAAAGGGTGGGGTCCCCCACTAAAAAGACAGAGTAATCTTACTCTGCAGCTCTTGTCCCTTTACAGCTGGTTTCTTTGTGGCGTAAAACAGTGCAGCTTGTATACCTCTGCAGCTGTTACTACTTTTAGCGCATTTTAGGTGTAAATTCTCTGCAGCTCATGTACCTCTGCAGTTCCTGTGCCTTGTAGCACAATGAAGCGCTGTTGTAGTGCGAATGGTATCATTTTTGTAGCGCTAATCTGCAGCTCAGATTTTGTAGCGCATTTAAAGCGCAAATCAGTCATCAGTCTGCAGCTCATACACTGCTGCAATTCATAATGGTTTGTAGCGCATTGAAGCGCCCATCTATCTATAGCGCATTTAACGCGCTTATCAGTTTGTAGCGCATCGAAGCACCCATCAGCCTGTAGCGCATTGGAAGCGCCAGGCTATAGCGTATTTGAAGCGCTTATCAGTTCATAGCATATTGAAGCGCCAATTAGTTTGTAGCGCCTATCACTACGTAGCGCTTTTGAAGAGCAAATTGCAAATCGGTCTGCAGCTCATGTCTGTCTACAGCACTTATCTGGACTTGAGTCCTGGAAATCAAAGCCCTGAAGGCTTGGTTTCTCCACTCTGTTTTGGGGTACTGCCAGTGAAGGCGTGACAAGATTTGCGTGGAGACATTCAGGGGCACTACTCCATCTCCCGCAGCTCCCGAAAAGGACAGAGAATGAATGTGATCTTAATAAAAGAAACATCCTCACCGCATACTCACCACGCGAGGACTCCTCTGCGAAGACAGGAGGACGGGGTCCCACACCTGTGCCACGCGTGGGTTCCGCTGGGTGCTCCGCAGCCCGGAGTGGCTCCGGACGCGAGCCCGCTCAGCGGACCTTTCGCGAGGCTCGGTGGACCCTCTTCGCTCTTCTCCCCAGGTCGTAGTCAGGTTTCTTCGACACACACCAACCGAAGTTGAAGCGCGTGTACCGGGAGCGCCGACTGGGAGCCTTATATAGGCTGAACAGAGGAGGGGGGCGCCAAATCCCAGTGTGCTCCGCGAGTTAGGGGGGCGGAGGGGAGCGGAGGCGGAGGGGGGATGGGGGATGGGGTGGGGGCGATGGCCACGCTACACTGGCCCGCCGCTAGAGGGAGTACAGGATTAAGGAGGGGGTGCAGGATGCTGATGCTGAACTGGCCAAGCTGGGAGGAAAGAAGAAAGGGAGGGGAGGGGAGAATCGAGGACGGCCGGCCTAGCCAGGCCAAGAATGCAATTGCCCCGGTGGTGGGAGCTGGGAGACCCTTGTGCTTGGACGGGACAGGGTCGGGGGACACGCAGGATGAGCCCCGCGACCACTGGCACCTTCTTGCTGACAGGTTAGTGGCCCGCGCGCGACGGGAGGTCCTGGGGCCAACAGGCCGCCGCCTCCCCATCTCCCGCCCGGGTTTTGGGTATCTGGGTGCATTTTCTGGGTGGCAGCCCCTCTTGCCGCCCCTGTCCCCACTATACCCCTCCTCCAGGACACCCCATACCCCAATTCCCGGGCCCTGTGAGTCCCTTCCCAGGCTTGACCCCTGGCCTTTTCTTTTTCTCTGCGCCCCCGCGGGCCCCTCCCTGCCCAGAACGCGGAGAAATTCCATCTCCAATTTCCATTCCTACCCGCTCCCCCCACCCCCCGGTTCCCAGCCCTGGTGGTGGACCTCTCCCCATCCCTGCAGCAAAGACTTGGGGGTTGCCCATTTTTCTGGGGGTCGTTACCACACGAATGGGGCGCTGCGGCCCGGAGACAAGCCATAGGAAATGGGTGTCAAGCTGCGTCCCTTTCCACACAAACACGTCCTTTCTTTCCTTGAATCCGAACGGGAGAAATCACAAAAATGTGCAATTTGAAACACCTAACTCCCCCCTCTTCCTAAGAGCATTTCTCGGCGGCGGAGATCTCGTTTTTCTTAGGTTTTATGGAGCGGGGAAGTGGAATCATGAAATGCTGGGAGCTAAACAGGGCGTTCGGGTCAGGGTTAAGCCCGGCTGGGGGCCAGAGACGCTGCAAACAACACCGTTTGCCCCACCAAGCGCACTATTTTGAAAAGCTAAAACAATTAAAAACAGCTGTGGATGCCAATGTGCTTGGAGGCTTCGGAGGCTCCCAGCTATGGCCTTTTGGTGGTGATTACAAGGTTTACACAGAGACCTGGTTCTCCCTGCAACGTTACATTTTTCTAAATCTTGTAGAGAAAATGAATACATTTAGTCACGGTAACCGCATGTTTAATCCTTTCAAGCATGTGGCTGAGATTCGGCCACAAATGTTTGTGTGTATTTATGCATATAAACATACATATTTTACCTTAGATAAAATTGCAGTGGGTTACAAGCCTTTAAAATACTGATGAAGAAGGATGCTTAAAAAAAAAAAAAAGCCATAACGAGGATTTCCATTTAAGTGCCTCAAAGTGTTAGGCTCTGAGAAAACGGACAATTTGTTGATAATCTTAGAAAAAGAAGTTTAAGTTAAATTGTCTACAGCTGAGTGAGGTTCCTGAAATACGGATGAGACACATTTGTATTTGAAGGCTGAAACTGAGCATATTTTAGTAACATTGCTACAGATTATTTATACATATGGGATAAATAAGAATTTGGCCCATTGTAGATGACAGCGTGTCAGGGATTGCACTTAGAGCTAGCTTTTCTAGGAATAAACAAAACTGGAGCACATTTACTGAGATTTTACTTTTTATCAAAAATGAAATGTTGACCATCTGATATATGAATGAATGAGGTGAAGATTTCCACCAATTAAAGATATTTTTCTAGGAAGTTGGGTGAGCACAATTATACTTTTTAGAAGTGCCTTTTAATCTTACGATGTTCAGCCTTTCCTGCAAGATAAAATAATTTTAGGATTCTTATGTTGCCAGAGTACCATTCTCATGACCGCCAAATTATCAACCCCTTAGACTTTTTTTCAATCTAGAAAAGTTACTTCACCTAATTTTTAACTGATAGATATTCTTTTTCTAAAAAGTGAGATTAAAAATCAGTATAGATGGTAGGGAAAAGGAAGTTTAAAAATTGATCCCAAGACACTTAAAGTTTGAACCACTTTGAACCAATTTAATCTTTTATTTCAAAATGTTAACCAGAATTTTTTTAATATAAAAACAGCTTTCGTGTTATTTTTATCATACTGAATTCCTACTCACTGTACAAAATTCAGGAGAAAAAACTCCAGAAAACTGGGGAAAAAATCAAGAAAATCAGGATCACCTGTAACTTCTTCATCCTGAGCTAAACCCCGTAAACATTATGGAGTTTACTTTTTCACACTTTCTTTATACGTGCTTATGTACCAAAATAATACATATTTTTCATAGAGCTGCATATTATGATTTTTAAAAATAAAAAAGGGGTTCAAATTAATTTTTCAGATTTATTTTCTTTCCAAAGAGACCTAATAGTTAAATAACAGTAAATTTGCAGGTTTTTTTAAAGGAAATATTAATTACTTTTTCTAATTAAAATTTTAGATGAACAACATTAGTACATATGTATTTAAAACTAGAGAACTGAGAATTTCCCCTGACATCACTATTATAACATACACATAGTTATCATTTTGGTATATTTCCTTGTGCTTTTATTTCTCAACATATACAGTAATTTTTACTTTGCTTAGAAATATAATTTTATAAGAAAAAAACAATATCGACAGGTAAGTAATTATAAAACTTTTAAAATCTGAAACAACAAAACAATATTAAAAACAAACACAAAAATACAACTTTGATAGAAAAATAGTTTAGATAACATTTGTGTTATCTAACAAAACTTTAACAACCCCCCATTAATAGACAAGAATTTTAAACACTTTTTTGACAGTTAGTATCCTAAGTGAATTTTGGATTTTCTCAGATATTTCCCAGTGTTGACTGTTTCTTACCCATTTTGCACAAGATTGCATGTAAAGCAAAAAAAGCTGTTAATGAGCATATTTGTTTTTATCAAATAATAACTGGACATTGTATTTGGACAGTTTAATCCATTTTTATGAGCATTTGCTATGGATCTATGAAGCTGTTGATTTACTACCTGTATTTAACTTCTTATGTAGTGGGAAAATTGTATTTCAAAACAAAGTAGAATTTTCCCTTGTCAAGTAGTAACTAGACTTTCTACTTGGACATTTACCTATTTTATGACAATTTGCCATGTATCTGTGAAACTCTTGACTTACCTCAGGTATTCAGCCTAATTTGTAGGGTGGAAGGAAAATTGTATTTCAAAACAAAATGGAATTTTAAAACATTTTATCTCTTTTAAATGAAAATTTGCTATGGACCTAAGAACCTGCTGATTTACCTACCACATGCATTTGGCTTAACTTTTAGTATGCTAGGGAAAATTTATTTCTAAGCAAAGTAAAATTTTCAGTTGTCAATATTAGCTGGACTTAGTATTTGGTCATCATATTAGACTTAGTATTTGGTCATCTCATCTCTTTATTATAAGAGTTGCCATCAATCTAAAAGCTGTTGGTTTACCTGATATATTTAGCTTAGCTTCTAGGACAAAGGACAACTCGTATTTCTAAGCAAATTGGAATTTTCACTTGTCTCTCTCTCAAACATTAAAAATAGCAAGGGACTGCACCAGAGAAAGCTAGTGAGAGACCACCTCAAAGAGATAAAGAAAACATGTATTTCAGATTCTATCACTGGTTTACCACTAATGAAAACCATGCTCTAAACAAAATGCTGAAGCAGTGAAGAAACCCTGACTTGTTAAAAAATTCTCCATCAAATTTTTAGATTGTTTGAGGATTCCTGTAAGGGCAGAATTTATAGATCTTATTTTCTCCCAAATAACCAGCCACTTTGTTTCTTTTTCTTTTTTTACTAACTGTAGCACACATTTACTCTTTCTGACTCCTTTTCTTAAACCTTACCCTTGCCTCAGCTCTAAACAGCAAAGTGCAAATCCTATTGCTGATCTTATTTCCTGCTATTAGTGTAAAAAAAGGATTCCAGGTGAATAGATGATATGAATTTATGTGTCCGCTAGAAATTCTTGGGATGGAGCTGTGTTTTAGTCCAAAGCTTCAGAGAACTATTAACATGGTGGCTTTTTTTTTTCCTTTTCATCCTTTTGAACTTCGCCAGCATAGATGGAGAGACAGACATGACAGACAGTCAGGAACAGACTCTCTCTCTCTCTCTCTCTCACACACACACACACACACAACATTCAAGCTTTTTCTAAACTTTAGAATACTGTTCTCCGGTCTACTGTCTTCCTGATTTCCAGAAATGTTAGCCAAAAACAGGAATGCAAAATTCAAAAAAAAAGAAGCTGGTGTTCCTAAGGATCAACAAGTCTTTTCAAATGAACATTTTTTGATTGGGGTTTTCAAGTTGGTAGCATGAGATAGAGTCTCAATGCTCTTAAAGCTGTTTTATATGAACTGCCTCCAAACAACATTCTCTCTAAGCAGAATTCCTAGTGTCTTCAATTTTTAAACAATGTAACTAGAGTAAAGACAGTATTGAATAAAAAACAATCTCCACAGTCTGACGCTAGAACAGACATTTCCATTGATGCTCATTTCCTTCTAGTCTTTGTTCTGTGTGCATATGTATTTTTCAAAGACTATGATTTTAATATGTGTAGTTTTGTACACTTTGTTTTGAAACATAAGTGAATCTTGCTTTCAGCAAAGCATTTGTTAAGGCATTAGATGCTCTTATGTGAGATGGTGTGTAGAGTAGCCAGATTGCTTTGTAAGCGTGAGGCGGACTAAACTAGCACCTGCCAGGTGTGTGGGTTACTGGGTTGGGGTCCAAGAGTGGTCCCTGGGGAAAGATCCAAGCCTTTGCCCAGGTCTTCTCTTTTTCAATGAATTTTATGAATGACTTTGATGAAGATCTAAGATGCTTGCTTTAAAATCCAGGGATGACTTGCAAAGGGGTTAACTGTTATAAGTAGATAGCAGAATTTAAAGTTAATATGGCTTAAATAGGCTGCAGTGCTATGCAAAAAGATATTTTATAGCAGTAAATGCATCATAATTCATTGGTGT